CACACTCTTAAACAAAGAAAATCCTTTGTGTTGGGGAGGTAGAGGTTTTTTTTTTTTTGAGGGTCAAGTGAAGATACTAGTTCTGAGTAGAGATGGTACCCTGTACATGGTTCAGTTCTGGTGTGGAATGATCCATTTGTCATGTACAGTGTTCCTGTGGTAGTGAGATGGATTATTTCACTTAGCATGATATCTGTAGATCCACTCACTTATGGATTACAGTAGACAAATCCTGTGATTCTATGTAGGTCATCGTGTGTTTGTGTGTGTGTGTGTGTGTTTGCTGTTTATTTATTGCTCTTTACCTTTAGATGTTAGATGGCATGACTCATTACTTAGGTATTTTCATCATACCTCTGGAATCATACAGTGTTTCTATCATTTCCATTACAGGCTCCATTTTTATATGTCAGGAACTCTCTCCTGGAGGAGGCCTGTGTAGGAAGTGAGCATTCCTTTGTCCTCTAGTGGTAGTAGAAAGGTTTTTATTGAGATTAAAGGAAAGGGGCCTTGGACATTCTGAGAAATGGAAGGGTACAGAAAATGCCCATATGGTCCCCAAGTGATCCAGGGAGGAAAGAGTGGATCAGAAGATATGCCAAGAGCTATTCATCTGGGAAAAGGGTCTTAAATATTTTTGTTAAATGACCCTGTTAAGAATCTGTTGAGAGCCATGATTATTCTTCCCCAGGGGGGAAAAAAAACAAAACAAAACAGATTTTCTCACAAAGTATGCATATAATTTGAAGCCATTTAAAGACACATGAGGTGGCTTTCTTAGAAAAACAAAGCAGATCACCTGAGTGGAGTTAAGATTATCATTATTTGCTAAATATATCATGCCATATTAAATACTTCTTTCTTCTGCTTTTGTTGTATTTTTCTATATGCTCTTTTCCTTATTTTTTTCTTAAAATTTTCTGTTACCCTGTTGACATCTTTTTATTATATAGATGAATATTTGGTAGACTTTTTTTTTTTAATTTAGAGACAGGATCTCACTGAGTTGCTTAGCACCTCACTTTTGCCGAGGCTAGCTTTGAACTTGTGGTCCTTCTGCCTCAGTTTCCCAAGCAACTGCAGTCTTGTGCCACCATGCCTGGCTTGGTAGACTTTTCTAAAATTGATACTATGAAGAGAGGTGGTTTTAAGAATTGCAGGATCACCAGAGAAAGGGACATACAGTAGAAGAGGCAAAAGTGTAAACTGATTTAGCTGATCTGGAAGCAGTTTGAAAATATATTATTAAGTGCTTTAATAAGTTTTGTATCAACTAACTCAGTAATTTCACTTTTAAAAACATAGTACACCAAGATTTCTGCATCAAGATGTCTGTCGTAGTAATATTTATAAAATAGTGAAAACATGGAAACATCCATAATGCAGAAGTGGCATAAATGGATTATAAAACATCCTTACAACAAAATATCATGCAATTATTAAAAATGATACTTATGGAGGTGCTGTGATTCTAATTTTTAGTTTCTTTTATAATTTGTGTTTTTCATATTTTCTACCATTAGCATTTGTATTATCATTAAAAAAATGCTTGAGATATTTTACAACTTTTTAACACGTTTTCAGAAATTTGAAGTGAAAAATTAAAATATTGCATTAAACTCATTCTTCTGTTAGCTTGTAGAAAAGAACTTTGAATATCTATCACATAACGTGTTTACACTGGCTTGGGAAAACAGTGTATTGCCGTCTGATTGTTGTCATATGCTTGGGAAATGGAAAATTTTTGAGAATGATGTGAGCAATGGTTGATGGACTATGTTCTCAATTTGGGAGGAAAATAATGGGAATTTTTTTTATCATTTGTATATTTTTTTAAAGGAAGAAGAAATAATTTCTGCCTGATTAAGTGGTGACTTCAATCATGAAAACCTTAAAGGCTGAGATGAATCATTATATGGGGGTACAATTTATTATGAGTTTGTAGGGTTTGTGTTCCTTTTTTGAAATGATTATGCATTTTATAGAGGAATACAGTTCTTGGGAAGTGTGATCACAAAGTGAATGCTGATAATTCCTCCTATGATTAATATGTCAAACTTGTCAAAATTCTATCATCATGTGTGGAAAGTTCCTTCAGTTCTTGAAATGAGCCAACTCTCAAGTATGTTCTGAAGCAAATAGGAGCTAATACTCTTTTCATGTAGAATATCATATTTTTTCCTTTTTCATAATAAATTCTTGCTCTCTAACTTTAGGTATTATTGGATGACAATAATTCAAGTTTTTATTGAAGAAGCAATCACTACTCAGGTTTTCTTTTTTCATTGTGCCTCTGAATCATATTAGCCTGTTCTAAAAAAGGCATTAAACCTTTGCTCTTCAAGAGGGGTTCTGTCTAGCTGCCATTATTTTTGCTTTTATTCTTGGTTTTGTGAGTTATTCAGCTCTTCCCTTTTCTTTTTATACCTGAACTCCAGGATTTATCTGCTGCAGTAGTTTTCTGGATAATGCTAAGTAGTCTTCACACCCCTGCTATTTAATTGGTTTTTAAACAACTGTCTGGCCATGTTCCTGGAATTGTAGTTGCAGTTAAATTTAAATGCATCTTAACTCGTGCTGAGCAGAAAAATGAATTGTAAGGTGTCCAAGGTTAAGGTTATTGATTCCTGGGATCTCACAAACTTTGCAAAAGGTACTGTGTCAGCTTAAAGGACTTGTCTGGAAGTTGAGAGGAGTAGCCCATTTATGACATCTGACTTAAATTGATTTATTTTAAGAACTTAGTTAAAAGTATTTTTACTAGCTGTTTGACTCACTAAATGGAAAAACATAATATCTTCTAAGAATGTTTAGATGCAATAGGATTTATGAAATCATGCTTTAGAGGTACAAATGTTTTATGGACATGTTGTTAAAATCATATATTGGCAGAGAAAGATAGTTGCTTCTGGCTTCATCCCATTATCTGCTTCAGTTGGTTCTAGAAGGGCGTTTGAGAGGGGAGGATACAAATGTAGGCAAACACATAGCAGCTAAGATTCTGAGTCTGGATATCTATGGCTTCTCTTATTCTCTTGGCTAGATTGGACTATGTGAGTATCAGAGGTTCAATTTTTTCATTTTTCAGCCAGGTTAGAAATATATTTAAGTGACTTGTTCACTCTGCCACTTTTTCTTTGATTCCATCCTGGTCTTTGCATTGTCTTCCATGCAAAAGTATTGTTGAGAGGCTGTCCCAGGTTTGTCTTACTGCAGCTGGCTTCATGAAATGGACTGGTTAAAGTCCAAGACAGTGGTGACAGAAAGACAGGTTTCTGAACCACTTCAGTCAGTTCTGTTTATCACATTTTTACAGTAGCTTCTTCCTTGGGTGCAGGATCCTCATTGTTGGTTCCTAAAGATTCCATATTGTTCTTTACCCATATTGGAGGGTGGTTCCAGGAAGGCTTGAGATGCTTTTAGAGCTGAGGTTTTCACAGTGCCTTGCATGGACGTGTAATAAATAATAAAGATGTGTAGAAAGGATGCTGAAGAGTCTTGAGTAGGTGGCCCTGGTCACTCAGCCCAGCTTCAGCTGGAATGGCTCTATTTTTATCTTGTTTATTTGTGGGATTTTGCATTTGATTTTAGTAGGGAGCTATAAGCTATAAGATGTTTCAGAATCAAAAGCTTGGGAACCTAGAGGCAAAAAACAAAGTCATTTAACTAATGGTGTCTGACCTATTTTGCTCTAATGATCTCCAAGACTGAAAATTTTGTAGTCATTTCAGTGACAGACAATGTGGCTATGCTTTTGGAGTCACACATGTTCTCTTCCAGCTTTGCTTGTTTTCTTGTTGGCTTTCTTTTAGGGACTCATTTATTTAGTAAACATTATAATGCCCACATTTGAAAGACACTGCTAAGTGGAGAATACAGTTTAATAAAGCAGCCCCTAGCTTCCAAAAATTTATTCCATTTATTAAAGGGTGTATAGGTAGGTATAACCCTGAGAAGGAAGTGGCAAGCATCATGAGAACGGGCTCTGGGGATTCAGGGGAAGAGGAAGGTAAGGGGAAAATGAGTGGAAGATAACCTCATTGACTCCCAAGTTTTTAATTTTATTTCAACAAAATTGACACAGAACATTAAAATGGATTGGAAATAATAATCTAGAGCTTATATAGTATTACATTAATATTATAGTTGTAATTGTATAATGATGTAACATAGATGTTCCACATCTGGGACAGTGGGGCAGAGTGTTAGGAAGGTTGAGTGTCTTAAAAACTATTACAGAAATAATGAACACAGGGGAAGTGCTGGTTTAGGGATAATGTTTGAGGTGAGTCATGCAGGTGGATATAACTTACAGGCAGTGGAGGTGACATTAATACTGGGGAAGGTGAAGATTTGAAATGCTGTGTGTGTAGATATGTTTTTATATATTTGGAGAGAAATTAGTTATTTGTCTTCTGTTCAACACATTTTTACTGAACACCTAATATGTGTTATGTACTCTGCTAGACACCGAGGATACTGTGTTATTTGCATCCTGGGCATGTGGACATTATCATAGACATTGTCCTTGCCCATTGAAGCTTAGTCTGGTGGGTATGAGGACTATACCTGTTTCCTTCACTGCTGTATGCATAGCTTTTGCTATAGGCAGTCCCTGACCTATGCTACTAGTCAGTGTGAATGAGTGAATCGAGTAAATGTAAAGTATGTTAATACAAGAGAAGCAGGTTGCTGTGGAAACATGGAAGTGAGGTTGGGGGAGAGCCGCTAGAGGTTATAAAATTATAATAGTCTGAGTGAGGAGCTTTGAACTTGGATGGTGATGGTAGGATAGGATTGCAGTGGACAAATGTGAACACTAATGAGGAAGTAATTGATAAGATTAATTGGATGAAGGGTAGAGGTAGGAGGAGGAGTCAGGATTCACAGGTTTCTGGCTTTCTCCTGTGAGTTAATTGCTCTGGTTTTCTATAAGGATTTTTTGGAGGAGGAGTAGTTTGGGAGAATTGAGTTGGAAGATGAGTCCATTTTAGGATATGATGAGTGTGTGGTGCCTTATGGGCATTCTGGGTACATTTGTAGGAATAACTGGATAAAATTACCAAAGGATAGGTTGTGAAGAGGCTGAAGACAAATCTTCCAGGAGCATCTTCATTTAAGGTTAGAATGAGACAGGAGACCCAAAGAGAGCAGGTAGGACATTTTTGAAACAAATAGCATTGCCCAAAATGTTTGCATGACAGGGTTGTGCAAAACTCAGATGATCTTCCATTTGTTTTTGTTTTTTTTTTGTTGTTGTTTTTTGTTTGTTTTTTAGAATTTGAATATTCAAAAATAGCAAGAAAAACAAAAATTGGGTAGTCTGGTATAGTTTGTTCTGTGCTGTTATAAAAGAGAAAATTTGTGAAATGTTATGGCTCACAGTTTGCTGTATGTATGTTCTTATTACTACTTCCTGACTAGGGGAAGAGATTGTCAAATTATACTTGGGTGAGAGGATGTAAACTCTTAATTGTGCAGTTTGCAAGTAGAAGTTAGCGCACCTCCACATATGTAATCTAAAACAAATCATGTAAAACTAACTAAACTGTTAGTGATTTATCCTGCCTATGCTGTCTCGTTTGAGTCTCATTATTGTGTATCTCTGAAAGAACTGGATGATTTGCTGGCAGCAGATATAATGTGTATGTGAGGTTACTGGAGATCTGCTTATTTCAAAGAATTAAGGGGCAGTTAGAAACTTACAATAATCAGTGAGCATCACTCCTTCCACAGTGAATGCTACTCTCCTTTCTGTTCCTCTCTGATTGTTACTATGTATTTGCTTGGCATGAAAGTGAATGAATTCTGTTCTCTTTTTTGAGCAACACAGAAATATTAATATTCTTTCCATTGGGTTTCCCATGATATGGTGCAGCAACGTGCTGATGGAAGATTGAAAAATTGTTATAGTCCTTTGTATGCTGGTTCAGAGAACATTAGCAAAGGCTGGGTGTAATTGTGGCTTAGTTGCTGTGTTCTTGCCAAAATGGCAATTGATTCAACCATTTTTAATATTTTTATCTGAAATTACACTGTAATTCAGCACATGAGTACCAGTATAGAAGTGAGAAAATTTTCTATGGATTCTTTTTATTTTGAAGAGTAAAATAAGTTTATTTTTCTAGTTGCCATAATAAACAGAATAGCACAAACATGCAGCTTTCCAAAGATTCTTTCTTTATATATAATGCTACTAAAAATGGGTTTGTGTATTTGTATTACAAGCCATCACTAGTAATGACCCTTACCTTTAAACTTGAGGTAATTTAGCAATTCATTGAATTCCTAAGGTAGCATCAGATTTTAGATTGTGATCCATTTAAAAATATTGATTAGCAAAGATTTGATTGCCTTCTTTGTATATATTGTGATCACTGTGTGTAGTTGGGATAAATTTTTTAAATGTATATATAAAATTTAAAGTATTAGGCTTTTGACTTTGTATGACCTAAAATCTCAAAATGAAATAAATGTTTAGAGTTTCTGTTTCAGTTGGAAGTTTAGGGAGAATATATTAAGTATAGAAACTTGAGTATTTAAATTAGTAATAACTTTTTATTGAACTTTCCACTTAGTTAAGTCTGCCAAGCATATCCTGTATTATGTCTTGCTGTCTTCAAACTGTGGATAAATTATTCAAAAATGTATTCTTTTAAGATAACGTAATTAGAATATTACCTTTCATTTCAGTTATTGTTTAACCAGAGAATTTAATCCTCTCAATGCAAATGAAAATCTTTTTAACATATGGCATAGATGATGTGGGTGTTGTAGAATCTATAAGAAGAGTTAGTGCTGTTGGTATATTAAATGTATTTCTTCTAAAAATAATTTTGGAAGTTAAAAACACTCCCACAGATTTAACACTTTTTGTTACTCTATGACTAATGAGGAAATCAAAGTTTGTTAAAATTTAAATAATTCAGGAATTGTAAAGTGGTTTTGGATTTTGCCTGAAATAGCTCATATTCTACTTGTGAAATGTCAGAGGACTTATAATTTTAAATAATCCAAACCAGTCTAGTTAGAGATCCTAGTCATTGTCGATGATAGATTTGCTGTATTTAATATGGTAACAGTTACTATCTTTTGACTATGGGTTTATTTTCTTAACCTATATTGTCTTTTTTACTTAAGTAGACACAGTGCTTTTGTTAGAGCTCAGCTAAACTGCAGAAAACTCCACTTATATCTATTATTATTAATATTATTCAGGTTTTCTTAGTGGAAAATAGAATAGTAGTAGTGTTTTGAACTGTGACCTTAGTATTACAAAAGCATATTGAAGTCACAATAAGGATATTAAAGAAAGAATAGATTTTTAAAAATGGCTTCATTGATACAGTTTTAAAGATTATTTAATCATAACATTAATCTATGTTTTTTTAAACATTTATTTTTTAGTTGTAGTGGACATAATACCTTTACTTATTCATTTTTATGTGGTACTGAGGATCGAATCCAGGGCCCCGCACTTGCTAGATGAGCGCTCTACCACTGAGCCACATCCTAGTCCTTAATCTATTTTTAAAGTATGGGAATACTTTATTTTTGTTCAACAAAAACTTTAGAAGGTAATTGAGAAGTTTTGGGAAATATAAATTCCCAGATTTATATTTCTTTCCCCCTAGATTTTGATTCAGTAGTCAAAATAAAAGATTCAGAAATTCCAGTTCTTTTAAACCTTCTTGTTAGAGATATTAATCTCTGAATTTTTAAACTATGTGATACATTTTTAAGTTTAAAAACCTGAAAGTATCCCTTACCAGATTCCTATAATTAAATTAAAAATTTTTTTTCATGTGGCAAGGGAGAATTAAATAGACTTTTCCTCTGCATGCTCAAGAAGACTGCCACCTTATCTTTGCAAAATTAAAATGGGTCCTTGGCTTCAAAACTGAAGCTTGCTTAAGGGTATATTTGCTGCTAGAATTTTATGAAAGACTCATAAATATGTCCAGTATTTTCCTTGTTAGTCTTGGGACACTCTTACCCAAGTGTGTCATGCAATTGGAATTCATAGCACACTCTGTAAGGGAAAACTTCTAAGACATCCTAGACCCAGCTGTGGCTGTTATGTTGGGAGTTTACCAGTAACTTCTTGTAGAGGCACTCTTAATAGCCACATTAAGGCTTCTCATTTTTTTCTTTCATATTTTTAGGAAGATTTTAGAGTTCAGAGTAACCTATAATAAGAAAAGAAGATAATTTCTGGAGCTGGTAAGCTTTGTAATGTGACAGTTTCTCAGGTAGTTCTCTAGAATCATACCTGTTTTTTTTAACCTCAGGAGAGTAGATGTTAATAATTGAATAATATTTTGATAGCTGCAAAACATTTTGGCTATGTTGCTTTAGTCTCCAAATTAGTTCATATATTTTTTTTAAGTGCCATCTCTGGAAGGCATTGTAGTACACAAAGTGTTTAGAGCACAAGTTTTTAAATTGATACTTCTAGCTATTGTGACCTAGCACCAATTACTTTTACCTTTCTGACTCTCTATTTTTAGGTATTAGTACCTAACTTATAGGGTGATTCTGAAGATGGAGTAAGATAAAATCTAGAATGTAGTCAACACTAAAACATTTGTTGAAAGCTTTTGGAAAGAATGAGACTGGCAGATGAAGGGTATATTAGGTCCTGTAGCTATTAATGACCTCTAGGTCTTTGGGTTTTTCATTTTGAACTTTGTCCATGAAACCAGAATTTGTGCCTCTGTCAGACACTTGGGTTTATTAATTGATGTGGTACTAGTTTGTCAGGGCTGCCTGTGACAAAATACCATAGCTGAGTGGTAGATAGTAGACATTTATTTGTCTCATAATTCTAGGGGTGAAATCTGAAATCAAGCTGTTGGCAGGACTGGTTCCTTTGAGGATTGTGAGGGAAGGATCTTTCCTAAACCTCTCTCTGACTTGAGATGTCCATCTATCTGTAGTTCTCCTGTGTACGTGTCTGTCTCCAAATACCAGTTGTATTGGATTAGGGCCTGCCTTAATGATCTTACCCTAACTTGATTACCTCTGCAAAGACCTTTTCACCAAATCTGGTCATATTCCATGGCATTAGGAATTAGGAATTCAAGATAACTTTTGTGTATGTGTGTGATGGGGGATATAATTCAACCCACAATAAGTGTATTTGAGATATGAAAGTGGAACTGATTTTTTTGTTGACAATGTTTTAATTTTTTAATCTTGCTCATTTGTAAAACTTGGATGTGAACTGATGGTATAATTACTTTTTCTTTACTAAGACCAGATATTTATTTTTGCTTTGCACCAAACTGTCTCTAAACTCAAGTGAAGCACTTGAAACAAATTGGTAGACTGAGGAAAAATTCCTTATTTCCTTGTTTCAGTTATTTTTGTATTCTATTCTTGGGGTGGGAAAAGAATGCTTCAGGTTGGTTGACTGAAATAGCAAGGAATGAATTAAATTCTCTGGGGGTTGACTTAAAGTCTTTTTGGCATTTGAGTTAATTTCAGGATGGCACATGTCTATTAAATAGAGAGTTTAATGGTCTATGTGTTATATGAAATCTTATTTGCATTAATTTTTTAGAACTGCCATCACAAGGAACCACAAACTAAGTGGCTTAATACAACAATATTTTCTTCTCACAGTTCTGCAGCCCAGAAATCCTAAATCAAGGTTTGAGTAGCAGCAATGGATTTCACCTTCGAAGGCCCTAGGAAGAACTCTTCCTTATCTAGCTTCTGGTGTTTGTTGGCAGTCTTTTGAGTTCTTTGATTGGCAAGCGTCTTCCTTTCTTCAGAATACCCACGTCTTAATAAAAAGTGGTATAGATAACACACAGGACATTTTTCCTGTGTGTCTCCATATTTTTCTTTCTCTGTATACAATAACAGCCATTGAATTTAAGGCCTACCCTAATCCTGTGTGGCTTCATTTTAACTTATTACATTTGCAAATCCCTTACTTGCAAATAAGAGGAACTAGGGCTAGGATTTCAGCTTTTTTTTTTTTTTTGGCAACACAACTCAGCCCTTACAGTTGTCCTTTGCTTTTAAAAATCAGCTTTACTTTAACTTCTCTCTTTAATCCTCCAGTTTCCACAAATTGATGTACTTGAGCCTGACAACTCATAACCCTCCCACTTGTTCTGACCGTTTGCCTTGGTTTTCTAGGA